GTGTGTGTGTGTGTGTGTGTGTGTGTGTGTGTGAGAGTGTGTGTCCTGTGGCGGCTCTGACTCATCTGCCCTCTGTTTGATCTGTTGTTAGCGGGTTCATGCGGTCAGGTCGGCCGGTCACATGATTCACTCTGGATCACAGGCGTATTATCTGTTCCAAACCTCTCTGTGTGTGTCTACAGCCAGTTAGCAGAGACTCACAGGAAGTGACATAGGGATTTGGACGGTGGTGTTTGTCTTATTTTTAGGCACAGCATCATTTGATTTGATTTGATTCAAGAGTCATGATCCCAGTGTGATTCTTGATTCAGTTAGTGTCACTGCAGCACGTGAATCTTCAAAGTGTTTCATTGCTGGCATTTTTAGAGTTCCTACAGATGTATCTGATCTCTGGATGTTTATTTATTCATTTTAATAGAGAGTTTGAAACTTACTGTATCTTTAACTGTAATGTTTTTCAGTGAAACCTTAATAATGAATTAAAGATTTCAAATATAATATATTATATTCATGTAGTGAATGCAGTCACTCTGGTATGTGTTGTGTTTGATCAGGGATTCACAAGCTTTTTCTCAGCCGAAACATCTGGAGTTTAAATGTTTTCTTGAAGTCTAAGAATATTTCAATAATTTTACAACACATTCACATGTTCATGGTTTTCTGATAAATGTTGATGATCACATGACAGCTAAACAAAAAAAATAGGGTAAACGTACCTATTAAGCTCACCAAAATCTTAATTGAGGCTTTTTTAGTGCACAAGATATTGGTTTCAGTACAAGAAGTTATGTTAAAATAAAATATTAATCTCTCACACAAAAATATTTAATTTTATTTTAAATGACAAAAGCTTTGATTAAGATATACATCATTAAATGCAAAAAGTCTGGCTGTGCTTAATGGGTACATGTTTGTTCCCTTTAAGCACACCCCTGTTCCCATTAAGCTCGCATCATGTTTTATTAAAAATTCTTGTTTATTTTAAACATCCTTTTTAAAGAATAATTGAATTGTGTGTGAGTGTGCGTGCGTGCGTTTGAGTGTGCACGCGTGTGTGTGCGCGTGTGTGTGTGTGTGTGAGTGTGTGTGCATGCGTGCGTGTGTGTGAGTGTGCGTGCGTGCGTTTGAGTGTGCGTGCGTGTGTGTGTGAGTGCCTTAGGTAGAGCAGTGCAGGCTAAAAGAGGAGATCTGGAGGAGTAAATGCTGAGTGTAGCAGTGAGATGCAGTGGGTGTGTGAGAGAGAGACAGACAGATCCTGCCAATGCAGAAGTGTCTCACTGCGCGTGAAGAAGCGTCACATGTGGAGGAGGAAAAGGGAAGATCAAACCCAATCACTGCTCGCCGCTCGCTCTGAATCACACTTTAATGGTGACTGTTCTCTTTCAGGTCCAGTTGGCATGATCACATTCGCAGGCGCTCGGAGGATGTGATGTAAATCTCATTTATAGAAGTCTGATGTGCGGCGAGAGAGAGTTTAGTCCTACACACTGCGGTGAAGCTTCAGAGCTGATGGGTGCAGTGTGTGTGTGTGTGTGAGAGAGGGCTGGGCAGACTGCACCAAAACACACACACAGTGTCAGTATGTGGAGGTTCAGTCTCCGTTCACTCATGTGTTCAGTTATATAAGTCCAGCGCTGCTGTTTGACTCCTCATCAACATCAAACTAACATCCATATCAACATCTGAGAGGAGCGGATCAGCTCCAGCAGATTTACTGTAGGACATAAACACATTGATATTTGTGTTTGATAGAGCCGTCTGACTGATTCACCATCACAACAAATAATTCAGCCAAAAAATACTGAATCTGTCATGATTTACTCGCGCTGCTCTTTTCACCAGCAGTTCAGTGATGATCAATCTCCAGAAAAGACAAAAACACCTTAAAGGGGACATTGGATGCGAAATTCACTTTTACATGCTGTTTGCATATAATCGAGTCTTAGCAGTGTGTGGACACAACCACCCTACAATGATAAAAATCCATTTGCTCCTTTTTTTTAATCCCCAAAAAACCTAACCAATAATCAAGCCGTTTTGATTTTCTGAGCAATATGATGTCATACTGCTCAGGCCCCGCCCACAGCTGCTGACAGACTGTCCCTTATTAGCATAGCTCCGCCCTCAGCCAGTTGTGCGCTGTCCGCCGTTTTCTCCACACTCGATCATCTGCAGCGACAACAACAACGTCTCGTAAGCAGTGCAGGTGTTTTGTAGCTGGATGTAAAAGTGAACATATGTTTTTGATGGTAATGCGCCACCGAATACACCTAAACTCACCTTATAAAGTCATGTGATGGTTTTATGAGAGACAAACTGAAATAAATATCATTTTGAGTGTTCAGATCTCATTCAGGATTAATGCATTCAGTTATGACACACGTGAGAGCCAGTGCAGTTATAAAGTATCATCTGACTTAAAAAAAAAAAAAATGAGATTATTAATATGTTTTTAAAAAAAAAATTCTCCATATAGTTTTGGTGAAAAATAAATATTTTCTTCTGATGATTATAATCTGAGATATGCACATATGTTTTCCAGACAGAATGTAAACAGTTTGCTTTAGTACTGTGACAGCATAAAAGTCCATTACTTAATTTGGGAAATATAATAAATAATAAATAATTCATGTGTTAATTTATTTTGTCTTATAATAAACAGTTTTATTGTCTTTACAATATTACAATACTTTTCTCATTCAGCATTTTTTGTGTGTGTGTGTGAATATATAGAGGTCTTGATATTTTAGGTAGGGGTCTCTACCGATCAGTAATCATCATATTTGGAGGATTTTGGCATCAAAAACATTGAAAAGCTCCAATGTAGATGACTGTTATGACAGTTTGGTGCTTTTCCTCCTTTCTGGAGTTTGATGCTTTCATTGAATGATGAATTATTCCCTCAGACGTGTTGTGATGGTGTTGAGAGGTTGTGTGTGATCTGAGGTCAGCATGAGCTATTATCTGCTCTCTGTTTCTTTCTCATTCCAGCTGTGGCTCATTTATTAATCTAATAATTGATCGAACTCACTAACTGTGTGATCATGCTGCAGGAAATGATGTTTTAGCTTTTGTTTTTGTGACTAAAAACAAAAAAGCATTTCGATAAAACATCCACATCACGACTCCGTTCATTCATGAGCAGAGGACGACCTTTGACCTCCGATGACCCTACAGGTGTATTAATGATTCCTATATAGAATAGAATAGTTTTTCCCCTAGTGTTTTTTCACCCACATCAAATAACTAACATTTATAATTAACAGAAATATTAATTGAATAACAAAGAAACAGGAAACCCAAAGATTTAACTGCAAAACCCATCAACCTCTGCTGAAATGAAGGAGTCTGATGTGTTTCTTCATGATGATGGATGCATGACGTTTCCTTTCTTTTCTTTCTGTTGTGTGTCCATTGCTCCACAGCTCATAGACATGGAGAAATGGGTACGTGGATTCACACACACTCTCACACACACACACACAACCACACTCACACTCACACACACACTCACACTCACACACACACACACACAGACACTCACACACACACAGACACAGACACACACACACACA